ATTTGTGGCTATGCAGATACAAAATGACTCTCCAGTCCATGTGACTCCCTGAGCTCACTAATCTATGGCTAGAGTAGCTCAATTACAGTTGCGAATGTAATGCCCTGCCTCTACTTTTTTGTGCTGGAAACCAACCTGAGAATGATAGAATATTAAAAGAGAGATGATTTTCTCTGGCTGGTTTTGCTTAGCAGTTAGAGCATTGGCCCGCGGTCCAGAGAGGCCTGGGTTCGGTTCCCGCTAAGGGCACGTACCTCAGTTGCAGTTTATCCCTGGCCCCGGCTGGGGTCATGTGGGTGGCAGCCACTCGATGTGTCTCTCTCACATTGATGTTTCTCTCTCTTCCTTCCTCTCTCCCTCCTGCATCTATCTGAAGATAAATGCAAAAAAAAAAAAAAAGCTCTTGAGTGAGGATAAATAAATAAATAAATAAATAAATAGAGAGATGGTTTAAGGTGGTTCGGGCTCATAAACCACACAGTAAATCCTAGTAAAGGAAGATTCTGTCTTGGAAAACAGAACATAACGAAATGAAAGGCAAGCATGACTTCTGTAGGTTAATCTGCCTTTGTTAAAAGACAGTAGGATCAGGTTTTGTCTTTTATAATAGCACATGGATTAAGAGTCTCTTTATCCTTAATTATAGTCCTGATGTCATAGGCAGGCATATTCCGCATCATCTAGCTTTGGTTCAGAGAATACATTTGAACCGTGATGACAGTTTCCAATCTGTCCCAATGCTTCATGAGGCCTGGAATGCCCCGGGGATGATCAAGAGAAATAACTACACAGCAGTTTCAGTGGTTGATGATGACATATGAATGAAGACTGGGGGATTTGGGGTGTATGCTCCCTGTTGGATAAGGGAGTCAGATAGGGATTGGGTATCTAATTAGTGTCCCTGAAAGTCAATCTGGAGATGTCCTGGCTGCTCAAAACAACTACTAAAGAATGGCGAAGGAGTACCAAAAACTAAGTTCCTTAAATGGTCTTTCAGGATGAAAGTGGTGACGGTAGGGGTGTTAAAAAAAAGCAGGCAGGCATAAATTATTCTCTCTAGAACAGAGGTGGGAGTGGACATCTCTGAAGGGAGAGTAGGGTGAATTGAAAGAAGAGGGTGGGCTCTGTCAGAGTAAAAACAACAGAGTTCTCCAGAGTGGGGATGGGGTGGGGTCCAAGGAGAGGCATGTTTTTATAGGCTATAACTTTGTTTTACTCACTAAGCCTTCCCTTTTGCCTGCTTTTAGGTATCTTTATGATTTGGCTCAGGTAATCCTCTGTGATATCCCTCATCTTGCCCTGGTTGAGATCATAGGGACAGAAATAGCCCGTAGAATCAAGAGGACATTATTTACAAGATAAAATAGCTCCACTGCTCCAAGAATGACTACAACACAAGTAGGATTGGTTACTCTAATTTTAGCTGTATTTGGTAGACCTCTACTTGAAATCTAGAAAAACAAGTCAGGCAATCACTCCATCCAATACAGAATTTGCCAGTGTATTAGATTCTAATCTGTGAAATGAGAAAATGATGATGTATTTTGGGAGCCATTGTTCTTCCCTTAACTAGAGGAAAAAGAGGGAGATGTCCTTAATTATAAATAGAATTGATAGGTGATGATTTGCTGTAATCAGCTTGTGGCAGGTGTGAATCCATGGTCTCAGTCAGAGATGGACTGGAGCTGGCAAGTTTGATTTAACTACCTAAGGATGTTGGAGTCTGTGGAAACATTGCCTATATGTGTGAGTAAGGCCTTACCATCCGAATATTTTTAAAGAGAGCAGAAGCCCAATTCGAACTCCTAAATTCACATTTCACACCAGTCACTAGAGAAGAACTTCTGATTTAAGAAAAGTGTTTTTAATGTCGTTCTAGGGTTCACTGGGATATGTCTAAGACCCAGATCCTTTCTCTGGTAGATTAAGTCCATCAAGGGAGACATTAGAGAAACATAAAAGGCACTGTGGAATCAAGTGTTAAATTTTTATGCCAGAAGTATTCAGAAAAGGGAGCAGTTAGTGTGAGCTGGAAGAATTAGTGGAAACTCTCTGGAGGAGGGGCATCTTGCACTGAGCTTTAAAGCATGGGACTAGGATTGGAATCTGAAGAACACAGGAGAGAGCTAGGAAGGTACCAGTGAACAGACAGTAAGGAGAGACACAGATCAGTCCATGATGGGAAATAAGGTTGGATAAAATTACTAAGAGTTTTAATATCCAACCATGCTTATCAGGGAAATGCAAAGTAAGGCCACATTGAGATACCATTACATACACACCTACAAAGTAAAATTATAATGCCAGGTATTGGCAAGAATGCAGAACAACTGGAACTCTCTTACTTTGCTGGTGAGTATGTAAATTCCTTCAACCGCCTTGAAAGCTATTTGGATAAAAATGTTGTAAGCAGCATTATTCATAATAACTCCAAACTGGAAACAATTCATCTGTCCATCAACAAGAGAGTAGAGAAACTGTAATATATTTATACAATGGAACAATACACAACAATAAAAAACAAATTACTGATACTCACAGCACCATGAGTGAATCTCACAGCATTATGTCAACAAAGGAGGCCAGATACAAAAGAGTATGCTGTATGATTCCATTTATATAAAAAATAGGCAAAACTAATGAATAAGTTAGAATGGTGCTTACATTGAGGGAGGTTTGGGTTATTGGCTGCAAAGGGACAAGAGAACCTCTGGGATCCTGCAAATGTTCTGTATGTTGATCTGAATGGTGGTTACATGGGTGTGTATGTATGTAAAAAATTGAATTGAGCTGTATACTTAAGGTTAGTGTACCTTACAGTTTACTGAATGTAAGTTATGCCTATGTAAAAAAGTTTTTTAGAAGGTAAAAATAATAAATCAGGGCATGGAGTTTGGATTTGTTGTGGGAGATACTAAGGAAGTATTAATGACTGTTCAACAGGAAGGTGACTTCAAGAAAGTGGTACTTCTAAAATTATTCATCCTGTAGTGATGTGGAGAACAGAACAGTGTTCAGATCAGCTGTTATATCGTCAGATATAGTGCTAGATGCTGTAGGAGACACAAAGTATCCGTGACCTGTCTTTAACCTTAAGAAATTTATCATCTTCTGGAGAAACCCAGAAAATTGCAGTAAATGATAAATGCGTAATAATGGAGTCAGAGAAATAGCACTAAAGTCACGTCTTAATTCAAATCCTAATTCTGCCATTTTATTGGCTTTGTGACTTCAGTCAAGCAGTTGATTTCCCTGAACCTTGGTTTCCTTATCTGTAAACAGTGGGAATAATATCTACCACTGTTGCCGAAAGGAATTAGAGATATAGTGTTCAAAGGTTGTAGTACGGCACAGTAGACATTCAAGTAAATGTTCCCCTTTTTAAACACCGTACCCAGGAGCAATACTTTTTTTTTTTACTGTGTGTGACCTCAGTTCAGAGTGTGGTTCCTGCCACTTACTATGTGACCTTAAGTAGGTTACTTAATGTCTTAGAGCCTTGATCTGTTTTGAGAAAAAAGATAAAAGGAGGGAAAATTATACCTTAAGAGACTGTTATGAGAATTAAGCGAACTTAACAGATACATAGTATCTAGCACAAAATAGCACACTTAATAAATATAAGATTCATTTCTCTTGAATGTAATGGAGTATACAAATGTGTGGTTCAAATAATGCAGATCATAAGTGATGAAATTGGATTACGATGGTGGAGATGAAATTGGACTGGGGTGAGGAAAGAAAGGGCAGATTATAGTGTTGTTGGTTTTTTAAAGATATAGCAAATTTGATATAGAAGAGGAAGTGCTTTCTGTATTCTGAACTTATATAAGGTATATCTCTTTCTATTTTTTTATAAGTTAAAAATAATATAAAAGTGGATTGTTATGATGCTTACTTAAGGTATTATGATATCATTAGAAAATATGTTATGGCCCTGGCCAGTTTGGCTCGGTGGTTAAAGCATCAGCCCATAGATCAAAGGGTTGAGGGTTTGATTCCCAGTCAAGGGCACATAACGTACCTGGGTTGCAGGTTTGATCCCCAGCCCTGGTCAGGGTCATGCAGGAGGCAACCACTCGATGTGTCTCTCTCACATTGATGTTTCTCTCTCTCTCTCCCTCCCTTCCACTCACTGTAAAAGATCAATGAAAAAGTATCCTCGGGTGAGGATTAGCAACAACAAAAAAGAAAGAAAGAAAATATATTATGGACTCAACCCAAAAAGTGGTACCTTACTACTGATTAAAAGTTATTCTGGGTTGCCCTGGCTGGTTTGGCTTAACAGTTAGAGCATTGGCCTGTGGACCAAAGAATCGCAGGTCCAGTTTCAGCCAAGGGCATGTACCTCGGTTGTGGTTCATCCCCAGCCCTGGTTGGGACCGTGCAGGAGGCAGCTAATCAATGTGTCTCTCTCTCATTGAAAGATGGAGAATCCCCCCCTCCCCATTCTATCTGAAGATAAATGGAAAATAATCCTCCTCGGGTGAGGATTAAAAAAAAAAGTTATTCTTGGTCTAATAATACTTTTAACAGACATTGTCATCCAACTGAAAAGTTAGTGACTTTTCTCTGAGTGGAGACCCCTGTCACAATCAAAGCAAAACCTAGAAGAATAAAGGGAAGGAAATCCATTTATAAAACATATGTCATTGTGTTTCACTTGAAATATAATCAGCAGAGCAGCAACCAGGTCTTATGTATCAGTGGTAAGCAGCTTCTTGGCTAAGGAAGTTTTATTTGCAGGGCAAATACTAAGCAGTAAATATTAATATTTCAGAATTGTATTGCTCAGAGTGTTTATTTAAGAATTCGGAAGTTGACTGATATAAAATCCTGGACATCATCCTTCCAATTTTTGGAACAATATTAGATTTCCTGTGAAATTTCTGGCTTGAATTTAACCACTGGTTCCTCATGTTTTCCAAGTTTGAGGAAAATGAAGAGATAAATAACATTTTTTGTATCCATCACTCATCTGTCCTTCTCCTTTCCCCCAGGTATTTCGAGTGGTGTGCATCTGTTTGGGTAATCCACCAGAGACATTCACCTGGGAGTATCGAGACAAAGATAAAAATTATCAGAAGATTGGCCCCATAACACCCTTGGCATTTTACAAGGAACATGTCAAACCACTCTTCAATATGGAAGATAAGGTTGGAGACTGGCACTGGCAGCCACTGGCTGTTTACTTTCAGATGCCTGTTGACTACCAGGAAGGGTATACACTTCTCGGGTTAACATACATGATTATCAAACTAGAAACTAAGCAGACTTTTCCATCTCTTCCTCTCAGGTATTTTTATAGACCTAATAAAATTGATCATATCAGGATTCCCAGTGCTTCTCTTCAGAGACTTTTCTAACTAACTGTAGGCTAGCAATCAGTTTTAATCCCCACACTCACCCCTGATTTGGGGCCCACAATTATTCCCAGGTACAAACACAGTAAAGTGTTGGGTATTTCTTACTGTGGTTTCAGAGTACCTCTGAAATGTACCCTCCTCGTCCCCCTGCCCCCAACCCTGGGGACTCTCATGGAAGGGAGCAATGTCCCATCCTAATTTTTCACTTTCTCTTCAGGTTTCCTCCACTGCCTGGCAAGATGACCAAAGGTTCCCTTCCTTTATTGTCACCTTGACCCTCTTATAAGCAAATGTTTTGTGATTGCAATCCCAACTCAGCTGAGGTATTGCAAGGTGTTGAGCCCATCTTATAACTTGAGAGCAGGGATCTTGTAGTGATGGGATCTCCATCTTGCCTTACTCAAGGCATGCAATTCTTCAGAATTACTTTTGGGATAATTCTTGCCAGTAGGAGAGCTGCAGCTCCCACATGTGTCCCTTTCACTGATTAGAATATGCAAGGACCTCTGTCGGTGATTTTGCCACCTTTTGTTTCTTTGTTATTTAGCAATCTGTTTGTAATGCTATTCTTGTAGGCAGAGGTGCACTTTGATGCAAACATGTGAACTTAGAGGAGAGGTATGTTTTTTGCATGACATTTCTGGTTTTATGTTCTCATTAACATGTTCTTGATCTATATAGATTTGCTTAGTGAATGACCCTCGGCCCCAGAACAAGTATAACAAACTTTACACAGTGGACTACTTAAGCAATATGGTTGGAGGAAGGAAAACTTTATATAACAACCAGCCCATTGACCTATTGAAAAAGATGGTTGCCGCTTCCATCAAAGATGGAGAGGTTGGTATTGTTTCTGTGTCTTCTGCATTGAGGTTAAAACCTCTTCTTCCACTTCTTTGGCATAATAGGAAGATAGAATTTATGTTGACTTTCTTCTTCTTTCCTCTATTTCTAGGCTGTGTGGTTTGGCTGTGATGTTGGAAAATACTTCAATAACAAGCTGGGCCTCAGTGACATGAATATGTGAGTGTAAGAAATTAAAAATAGAAAACCGTTTATGGGTTGTTGCTGTTGGGGTGCACTCTTCGTACGCAGTGACTCAGCTGAGGTTCACCCAAAGAGTAAGGTTGGCCTAGGGGTGGGCCTCTTTCCATCTTGTAGAGCTGGAGGACTCTTAACGAAAACTCCATATACTTATGTGCTCTAACCTGGGAAGTCAAGATCATACTTGTGTCTGCATTGGAATTGTTGGATGTTCCTAAAATGCCATCCTGTATGAGAAAGGCACTTTTAAAAAAAATAATTGATGGCCCAGCCGATATGGCTCAGTAGATTGAGCATCAGCCCATGGACTGAGAGGTCCCGGTTCGATTCCTTGTCGGGGCATATGCCTGGGTTGTGTGCAGGAGACAGCTGATTGATGTTTCTATCTCTCTCTCTCTCAAAAAATAAAAAAAGTATTTAAAAAATAATAATAATTGATTACTGTGTAAATCTGCTCAGAGATTTGGGAATGTAATAAAAGGTTTTCCAGACCTCTTGCTTGCTACTTGATCCTTCAGAACTACTCCTCTTACTCTGATGAATTATGTATTTTTGTCTTTATGCCTACTGGTACTAATTTACATACACACTTTAAAGCATTCTTCCTTGATGTTGATGACAGTGAAGGTTCATTCGTGAATAAAATTATACAAGATTTCTTGGCTATTAAAATATACCACTTTAGGGTTACTTAAATTGTTACTTATAGGAAGTTGGGTAAATAACTTGACAGTTAACAAGAGAAAAGAAATCTAAAAGAGAAAACTCATGATTTTTTTAACTTTGAAAATATTCTCCAATATATTTTAAATATTATCTATTTAAATTTCATAGTCAGCAGTGGTCTAAATGAATTTATAATCTGGGCACTTCTGCCAGCTTAAAGTAGACCATTTTTGAAACATGTTCAAGTTTGGCAATCTAAGCTCAACTTGTCCACTTTTTGATATGGGGAGTTTATGTTTAATCACTTTATGTTTTTTGAGTACTCTTATGACACATAGAGAATGGAATGCATTGAGAGACTAAATTCTGCATGTATCCCATCATCTGAAGAATTCCAGCCATATTTATTTGGAGTTTATTGGGCCCTTTTAGTTTCTTTTACAATGAGAAACTGTCTTTCCCCCCTTGACTGAACTCTTTATTCTGTTTTGTCTTTTTTTTTTTTTTTTTTTTTTTTTACAGTTATGACTATGAGTTAGTGTTTGGTGTCTCCATGAAGAACATGAATAAAGCTGAGAGGTTGACTTTTGGTGAGTCACTTATGACCCACGCCATGACCTTCACTGCTGTCTCAGAGAAGGTATGACCCTCAGCATGCCCACCACAGTGTTTACACAAATGGACCTACATTATCCTGCAGACTATTTATCCAGCAGAACTTCATTCATACTATAGATGGTTTTTGTTAAAAGTTAGTTTCCAAACAAGACATTGGACCTTCGTCACTTGAGGTTTGGCTACATACTCAGAGGTAGTAAAAATAGGAACTTTCCATGGGGAGCAGATTTTGGGTCTGCAGGGAGTAAGGAAGTAACTGCTTTTCTGTAACTTTGGAAGTTCTTGGTGTGAAGAGAGGTCAGCAAGGGAATCTAGGAGAAGATAACTTCTATTGAATAAGGAATTGAAATGTGCCCTGAAAGTGTTCATATCTTGATAAACTTGTGTTCAGACTTACCTTCCTTTCATTTGTCATTCAGATTCTTCTGCAGTAAAATGTCAATAACAGTAATTTGTGGACTCCATGCCCATCCATTACTGGATTTAATGCAGAGCTTCAGAAAATTGGATGTAAAGTATTTTGAATTTCCTATGAAATATTTTGAATAGTAATATCACTGATTTTGGACACACTGTTGCAAACAACAGCTGAAGCTTTATTTTTCACAAGTAAGCCTCCCCATTTCTAGGCTGTAGAAAGGATATTTTATATCTGTGCTCAGGGATCATAGGAAGAAAAGACTTCAAACTACTTACATTTTTTACTACCACAAGTAAAAATGTTATTTTTCTAACCTAATTCCTGAAAAGAAAGTCACAAAATAACTAACTTGACATTAGAAGGAACTTTTCATAAAATACCATAAATAATAAAATAAAATACTAAAGTAAATAAGTTGTTTATATTTGTATATTTGGACCTGTTAAATTTAGTATATTTATAACTAAAGTTCCTTAAATTAAAGTTAAACTTTTACATTATTTAGAAGATTATTAATCTAAACTAAATACCTTGTAATAAACTAAAATAAACTAAATACCTTTAAAATAAACTAAAAACCTTGTAATTTCTAAGAGGTTTGGCTTTTTATTTTCCATCTTTGTTAAAGAGTATTTATATTTTTCAGAATAATTTTACATACTTACTCAGAAATAAAAATCATATATGCCATGTTATTTTCTCTGGAACTTTCATTGTTTGATTGGCATGGTTTATTAACATGCCATTTTTTCCTCAGGGAAATGGAACTGTCATGCATGCATATAGTATAAAGCAGAATTTACATGATCTCAGCTGGAATTTTATAATGAGATTATTCTCTTCCCTCCAGGTTGAGGAGTTTTTTTCTTTTTTTTTTAATCCTCACCCAAGGTTATTTTTCCATTTATCTTCAGATAAAGTGGGAGGGAGGGAAGGAGGGAAGGGGAGAGAGAGAGAGAGAGAAACACTGATGTGAGAGAGAGACATCGATTGGTTATCTCCTGCACAACCCCGACCAGGGCCAGGGAGAAAACTGCAACTGAGGTACGTGCCCTTGACCGGAATAAAAACTGCGACTCTGGTTCAAGGGTCTACGCTCTAACCAGTGAGCAAAACCGGCCAGGACTGTTTTTGTTTTTGTTTTGTTTTGTTTTTGTTTTTTGAGGATATGTTTTTATTGATTTTTTTAGGGAGAGAGAGAGAGAGAGAGAAAAAAAAATCAGTGTGAGAGAGAAACATCCATTGGTTGCCTCCTATCCATGCCCTGACCAGGAATTGAACCCACAACCTTGTGGTGTATGGGATGATGCTCCAACCAGCCAAGCCACCTGGCCAGGACTCCAGTTTGAGTTTTTGACCACTAAAACTAGTTTGCACTGCATTTGAATGGTAATGCAAAGGTAAATGCTGGTAGTTGTATTCTGGGATGTTCTTTCTTGGTGCTGATTTTTTAGAATCCCTATGAGGGAGGTCTAGGTATTATTCTATATTTATAGATGACAGAACATCTTGAACTAGGTCATGTGCAGGAATTCATTGGCAAGGAAAGGGGAAGAAACATTTTCAAACTTATAATAAATGACCTTAGGTAATATAGATTCTGACAATGGTATTTAAAAGGAAAGTGAAGATGGACTACAATGGGGGGGGGGCAGAAAACCAAAACAGACATTTAACAGACTAGTCTTAGAATGTATAGTTTAATGATGTACTCTTGAAGGTACCTGGGGCTAAAATTAAGGGGTAGTACAGATAAGAGTGTTTAAAACTTGTGGGTTTGGTTGTTGGCTATTTCTAAGACTGAAAATTTCTGAGATCCAAGAAAACTGCCAAGAATAGAGTCAGATCCCTAAATGAGACTCACGCAGTTTTGTGCAAGTGGGAGTTAACAGATGAAATCATTAGCAGATAATACAGTGGCCAGCTTTCTTCTCATGCCACAAAGATTTAAGTTGTTTTGACACTAGTGAATGCCCTGGCTGAACATGAAAGAGAAGACAGTCTTTTCCCAAATGGAGCCTTTCTTTTGTCCCTCTCTGTGTCACTATAGTAAAGACTGGAAGTAAAGGCTTTTATGATATGTATCATTGTTCCTTTAAAAAGATGAAAATTGAACTTGTTTCATTAACGAAGATAGAAGAAGGAGAACAGTAGTACTGCCTAGGTACTATATGAAAATAGTCTTTTTATTTTTGCTTTGCTGTTCAATCTCTATTAAATGCAGTATTAGTGTAACTGGATCAGTAAAAGCACACATTTGGAGATTGAGTACTTGGTTCCCCTAAGTAGGAAAGTAGGCAGTATGATGAGAATGTGTTTGTTTTCTTTCTTAAACTGACCAGATCTAGAATAATTTCTGAAATATATTGGGATGCCTTTGCAAAGAATGCTGATCAATTAAAAGCATGAGTCCTGACTTTAGATGATATTCACTGCTTTTAGTAATTTAATATTTCATTTTTCTTAGCCAGCTAGCTTTTTTTTAAATCCTCGCCCGAGGATATTTTTTTTCATTGATTTTAGGAGGAAGTGGGGGAGGAAGGGGGGCAGGGAGAGAGAGACAGAGATACAGACATCGATATGAGAGAGACACATCGATTGGTTGCCTCCTGCATGACCCCAGCCGGGGACCAGGATCGAACCCTTGACTGGAATCAAACCTGGGACCCTTCAGTCCTGATGCTCTAACTGCTAAGACAAAGTGTCCAGGGCGCCAACTAGATTTTATTTAGTTGTTTGTTTATTATTTATTTTTGTAATCCTCACTCAAGAGTATTTTTCCAGGGATCAAATTGTAACTGAGGTACATGCCCTTGACCGGAATTGAACCCGCGACTCTTTGGTCTGCGGTCGGACACTCTAACCGCTAAGCCAAACCAGCCAGGGCCCAACTAGCATTTTAATATGCTTATTTTCTGTATAGCATGTGAAGGAGAAAATAGTATGATTGCTTTGTTAGGTTCATTGCATTCTCACCCCAGGAGCTTCAAACACTTCTGTTGGAGTATCCCTTTAGGTATAGTAGAAAAGACGTGGTCCTGATCATGTAATTATATCATGGCTATACAGAGAAGGCTATTTCTTCTGAGTGGCTGAAGAAAAGCTAAAATTAACATGACATGTCAGCAGGAGGGATCTGGTTTCAGACTATCCACTCTTATCCACTCTTTTGCAGGATGATCAGGATGGTGTATTCGTGAAATGGCGAGTGGAGAATTCATGGGGTGAAGACAATGGCCACAAAGGTGAGCTTAAGCTGGTAATACAAACTCGGGGTACCTAGAGTCTGCTCTGCTGTCTGCCTCAAGAGATGGGTAGAAAGCTGCCCTACTGTGGAGCTTTTTTCAGTAATTGGTCCCACTGGATAGACTGTTCTAGAGGAAAAGCTGAGGATCCACTTTGCCCCCAGGGTCCCTGTGACCAAAATAGCATGCCTGAAACCCCAAGTTGACTCTGAGACCAAGATGGGCTGGCACTGGTTTCATGTCATGCAGACTCTACTGGACCTCTTTGTACCAGAACATGTTGGCAAGTAAGAAGGTTGAGTGCCCTTTGCCATAGCATTTAGTGCATTTTCATCTAGAAAATCAGAGCCTCTGAGTTGTAGAATGGGATCGTCAGGAAACTTTAGGCATTTATTGAAGACTCCAGGAGTTGTGAAGTCTGCAGAGGAAAAGAATGTGTTGGTTACTGTTTAGAACTATTTTATTCCGACAAAACCCAGGCAGAAGTCATAAGTAAATTATAATAATTAGACTAAAAAGAAACCACACAGGTAATATATGAGTTGAAAATAAAAAATATAGATAAAAAAAAGGAAAGAAAAATCTCTAATATTATTACTCACAGAACACCATTAACAGTTTAGGGTATTTTTTTCTTGCATATTTTTGAGATCATATTTTTATTATTATTTTTTTTTACTGATTTTTAGAGAGAGAAGATGGGAGAAGGAGAGAGAGATAGAAACATCAATGAGAGAGAACATGGATTGGCCACTTCCTGCATGCCCCCAACTGAGGGATCGGGCCCACAACCTGGGCATGTGCCCTGACCAGGAATCGAACCAGTGACCTCTGGTTGCATGGGTCAACGCTCAACCACTGAGCCACACTGGCCGGGTGAGACTATAGTTTTAAAGGCCGTTTTTCATAGTAGATAAAAACCTTTTAAGGAGCTCTTATGCTTTAATTTTTAGGATTTCAGTCCAAAGGTGGTGACTACTATAGAGTGTTATGCATATGAGCATGTATTTGTGTGTGTGCTGTGTGCTGTGGCATTTTGTAGCAGCTCTTTTCAGATTTTATGTTCTTCACTTTTAGCCAGTGGATTCCGACTAGCAAAAACACATCAACCACAGCTCACTAGACTAAATAGAAGACTGGGAGGAAGTAGGTAGGGAAGCTAGTAAGATACCCAGACACTTGGAATCAAACTTCAGCATATATCTCACCTAAGCAGGGATCAGCCAGAAATTGTCTTTAAAAAAAGAAAGAAAGAAAGAAAAAGAAAGTAGAGATCACATTAACTCTTTGCCTGTTGCCTCCCTCCATGTTTAGAACAATGATTTTTCCAGCTGTGTTCCTCAGAGCTCTAGGATTTCCAAGGGGAAAGGTAGAGGAGGAGGAATGTGGAGTTCTGGAATTGAGTAGATGGAGCTTCAGTAGTTTAAATTTGAAAACTTCTGTCTTTGAAGAGCCTATTAACTTGAGTTTTGAGCTTGACAGTATTCTGCGATTGAGCAGCACGGGCTTAGATGTGGTGGCCAAAACCTGAAGGCCATTAAATCTGCTGTTCCAAGTCTTTACATCTTCCCATGAAATGAGCATTGGTGGGTTTTGGCTAACTGTCCCTGGGATCTGCTGTGAAACTTAACAGCTCCGTGTTTATATGTAAACAATAAGCATTATTAGTGCATTTCTGTTCATCATAAGATAGTTGAGCAGCCCCCTTCTGTGATTTCTGTTATTGTTCTGTGATTCTATGGTGCTTGTTAAATTATTTTTATGTATTAAGAGTGCAACATTTTTGTTTTTAGATATTTTTTTAATCCTCGCCTGCAGATATGTTTATTAATTTTAAGAGAGAGAAACAGAGAAAAATATCGATGTGAGAGAGAAACATACATCGATTGGATGCCTCCTGCATGCGCCCCATCTGAGGATTAAACCCACAACCTTGGTATGTATCCTAACCCAGAATCAAACCCACAACCTTTTTGGTGTATGGGATGATGCTCCAACCAACTAAGCCACCTGGCCAGGCTACAACATATATTTTAATTGGTGATTTTTTATAACATGAGTTTCATTCTGCGACAAATATACATTGGGACCATGTAGAGAGGGCTGTAAACCTTAAAGCTAGCAGAAAGCTTAAAACTAAACAATTTACAATATGTTTATAGCCTTAAATTGATGATAGTTAAGAAATGGATGCATGGTAATAGCTTATATTGAATTGGAAGGATGTACTATTTGTAAAATTTTATTTATTTTTTTGTTAATCCTCACCTCAGGCGATCCATTGATTTTTAGAGAAAGTGAAAGGGAGGGGGGAGAGAGAGAGAGAGAGAGAGAGAGCAAAAACAGAAACATCAACGTGAAAGAGACACATCGATTGGTTGCCTCCCACATGTGCCCCAGTCGGGGCCAGGGATCGAACCTGCAACCCAGGCATATGCCCTTGACCAGGAATCAGGCCTGTGACAATTTGCTCTAACCACTGACTCACATCGGCCAGGGCTATTCGTAACGTTTTAAAACATAATGTAATTGCTTCAGATGAACCTTTTATAGATTGCTTCATTTTTTATCTAATTTGGTCCCTGTAGTTTGGATTATTATCATAGACATTGGTGTCTAGGGAAAGGACTTAAGTTATGGTTTGTTTAGATGAGCCCAGATCAGTTGGCTTGCTTCTTGTGACTTTAGTCACTATTTGTAGATAGCAGTGATATCCATTTAAAAAAAGATAAACACTTTAAAAGCCAGGCAAATGCTCAGTGTCTTGGGTAGTGTGAGTTATTGTTTTTATTACTTGGAACCTAAATACTTACTCTTAAAGAGGATTCTGGCCACTTTACTTATTATTTTTTTTTCCCATTTAACTACTTCTCTACTCCGACTCAGTGCAACTTTTGCTTTTACTGACTAATTCTGTTATTACAGTCGTTCCTCTGTGTCCATGGGGGATTGGTTCCAGGACCCCCTCAGACACCAAAATCTGCAGATGTGGAGGTCCCTTATACAAAATGGTGTCTTTGCATATAACCTACACACATCCTCCTATATACTTTAAATCGTCTCTAGATACTTATATACATAATATAATGTAAATGCTTTATAAATAGTTGTTATACTGTATCCTAGGAATAATGACAAGGAAAAGAAGTCTGTACATCTCTTGTACAGATACAACCATTGTACGTCTAACTATATAGTACACACCAGCATCAACATAACTTCCCCCCCCAGATATTTTCTATCTGCGGTTGGTTGGAACCATGGGTGCAGAACCTGCGGATACAGAAAGCTGTATGTTAAGAGAGCTGGGGTCTTGATCCTGATGATCTGCCTATAATTCATTCTAGTGAAATATGCAGCTATCCAGTTAAGAGTAAAGTAACTTTTTTGTTTTTCTGAATAACTGAAATGCCTGAGATTATACAGAACAAAGCATTTCAGTAGAGGGCCAGCAGATAAGAAATTGAACTGAGTGGGGGTAGGGAATAGTTCATTCAAAGCCAAAATAAATTATTCTTATGTATTTCTTGGTAATGAAGACTTAACAGGAAGGAAGGAAAGAAAACATGATCTAATTTAATTGGCACACTTGGCCTGACCTTAGCTGAGTGCATAGTATGTTATGCTGGTGATGTGTGTTTTTCCCAGCCTTCCTGTCTGTCATCCTGGTGGGTACTGGCTGGCATGTCTGAGGCAGAACCTCTGTGTTCTCTTGGAAGACGGGGCAACCTTACAGCATTGCTTGGATTTTTTTTCTATCGATAACATTGTTAATAGCTTGTTACCATTCTCTTTGAGATTTCTGCCTGTTAAGATGGATGGTTTTTGAAAAAGCAGTGTTAATAATACAAGCTGGAGATAAAGAGAGCAGAGAGATACCTGGGCAGGCTGCCCTTGCCTTCTGCCTAGTCTTGGCTATAGTCTTCCCCTATTGGTCATGTTCATGGTCCTTCCTGTCCAAAGACAACTAAGTAAATCAAATAACCTATTTTACAAAATGGACAAAGGTTCCTTCTGATCACAAGAGACATGAAAGGAGAAATTAATTCTTGTCTTACTGGGCCTTTTGGATTACTTCATGTTGATGAATTCTAGTTCCTTAGCTGGACTGAAAATTGGATGCAAATATAACATGTTGGACAACCAACGTGGTTTTCTTCCTCCTCTGCTTCTTGAAATGCTTGACTATGCATTTTGTAACTTGTTTATGGATCGTGTCAGAAACAGACTTCACAGTTGGAACAGACCTTGGAACTTGATATATTTTCCTTTCATTTTGAAAAGTTTATAGGCTTGTTAGAGAAAGTAGTTTGTAAAATTTCATCAAAGAAGAGCATAATCTTTAAACCAAGGTGACTCTAGTTGGATACTAGAGCCTACTTTCTTAACCACTAAAATGTGCTTCCTCTCAGCTTTTCTGTTCTAGTAGCATCTAGTCCACTCAGGGAAATAACATACTTCATGATCTTTTTTGACTAGAAACTAGTGACTGAGGGAACATAAAACTGTATAAAGGATCTGAAGACATCGTGTGAATGTCAGGAGAAAGGGCTCTTAAAGCACCATTCTGGCTGGGAATATGGATAAGGAGGGAGGGCTGGGGCAGCTTGTGAGGGTTTATGCCTAAAGGTAGCACATTGAGTTGGGCAAGTGAAAAACTGTATGTAATCACTCTAAACCCAGAATTATTTTGCAAATGCTGCATTATAATATGTCTTTTGTTTTTTTTCTTAAGTTATTTGTTTTTTTTTTTTTATCATGGACAATTTCAAGAATTATATAAAGTAAACAGGATAGTATTAAGGACACCCCCTTCCCATGGGTCCATCACCCAGTTTCAGTAGTTACCAACATTCTGCCTTTGCTAACAAAGTGTTTTTGGTAGTTAATAAGTTAAATTCTTAGATGGTCTCTCTAATGAGCCAGTCTTACCTGGAACTTCTTTGTGATTGGCTCATGCAGTCTTGAGGTGCCTGAAGGTGGGCACAGCAGAGCTGTGG